GCAAGAGTGATTGTCTTTAAAAGTGCTGCAGCTCAGGATAAGATGGACACGATAAGCTCTTTTTTTATACAGATCACCCTCTAATTAAAGGATGATGGAAAAGGAATCAAATTTGAGGTGTGGCGTTTCCTAACTTAGTCTTCAACACATTGGAAGAAGCTATTAGTGAGGCAAATCAGAGACGTAAACAATATTCATTATGCAATTCATATGACAGGACTGAGGTCATGATAAGTTGCAGCAGCACTGTATATGGGGCCAGCGGTTTATAATGCAGGAATTCTTATTGATCCAGATTGGTGGAGAGGAAAGTAATCGATAGAGCTGATCCCTCTCAGTTGATCTTAAGAGAGCTGAGGTGCCAGGTGAAAAATGATCCATTAGAAGAATGAGAAGCAGCCTCAGTGGAGTGCATTAAGTCACTGTTAAGGCCGTGCTATAGTCCAGCCATATGGATTTAACCATTTCACCTCTGCAGCTGTAGTGAACACACTCCTTGTCTTGTGGAACTGTAAATGTGCTGCAGTATGCACGCATAGAATCATTGTTGTATCACATGACTAAAAACATTGCAGTGAACGTGAGCACTCATTCATTTGTCGACTTCTGCTCTTCAACACGACACGACAGAGCTAACATGCTGCAGCATCTACTCTCATGTAATATCACCTTGTAAGGACATTTCCTGGACACTAATCGGAGATTATTGTAAAAAAAAAAAAACAGCAAGATGAGCAGGGATTACTGCTCATCTTGCTCATCTCAGGAACAGGGTTTGATTGGATACAGGGTATCATCAACATTGCCACACACTGTAGTGCTTCTCTGCATTTGGTCCAGATGTAATGGGGATTGGTTAAAAAGCCTCTGTTGTTTTAGATGATCCATAATAATTTCAAAGTCCAAAGAAGAAAGGAAAGTTACTGACTACTTCAGTATTATAGGCTACGATTCAGCAGCAGCAGCATTGTCATAGTCATTTATATAAAGTTAAACGCATAATTGGCTTCTACAACTACACATTGCAGCTGAATTATCATTACCCCATCATTTCTGAGTCGGTCTTCTGTAGTGTAAGTTGTGTGTTTACCTTATAATTTTTGCCTCAATGTGTCCGTAAGGGCAACGTGGAATTGTCAAAGGGAAACAAACAACCTAATGATGCCTCATTATCCCGGTGATTCGCACATAGCAGCAGACTGTATCATTTAACAGCATGGAGTAGGGCGAAAACAAAAGGAAGATGGATGAAAACAACTATTAAGGTCGCCTAAAAGCATATACTTAAGAGTCTGGCTGTCTCTATTCTGCAGACGAGTGTCTTGGAAAGTTGAGCTATAGAACATGTAAAGGTGGAGGTAGAAGAAAGTCTGTTTAAATCAGTTCAAGATGTCAAGATTAAAATGGATAAAGCTATTTGGAGTTAGGAAAATTACCTGTTTCCTTCAAATTCATTCAGACAATCCTTTTTTATGTTTTCAGTAAAGTACTTGTCTTTTGTACTTATGCTGTAGTAAGTGATAAACTGCATTACAGGGTATGAGGTAATTCAGCCAAATAGAGGTTTAGTTCAGTTCATCATTTTAGATCAGGGTTCTCTCCTGTATTGACCTTTGAAGATAAGAGTGTGGGAGCACAGCACACACCATATAAAGGATTATTATGAGAACATTTTAATCTTAAATATTTTCTAAAGTAAATTATCCTTTTATAATTTAATACATTAGTGTATTAATACATTTAGCACATTACAATACTTATTAAATACATTATTTAAAGTTGTCAACAGTTTAGGTTTTAAGCAAGCAAATCGGTTTCAAGTGAGAGAACAACAGCCAACACAAGTGTTTACGAATAATAATACATTTTTAAAAGTCTCATTATTGATTTAAATTTTGTTAGAATGTATATCTTAACAAGTAATTTTAAATTATATGTAGCTGTAACATTCTGTAACTGTAAACTGTAACTGCAACTTTAAAATTCTGTTTTCCGTTTTTTTTCCTACAAATCTTACTTCAAAAACCTGAGGAGAAAAAAAAGATGATTTTTCTTGACTGTAGAATACTAATAAGTGCCAAACTAACTTTTCTGTTTGTTTATTTTTCAATTCAATAAGGAGTATGATTTTTGTCTGAGGTTGAGGGCAAATGCACAACAGTTTATTGTATATCCTCTTGACAATAAGCCAGTGAGCCTGCAGAAGGGCACTCTCTCTAAAACAGTACATGCTCCCTGCTCAGAAGCATGCCCTGCTGTCAGGCAGAAGGGCATTTACTGGATAACTGCGTGTAAACAGTACACGGACTGCCATGAGTGATAAGACCAGGAAGGAGTCTTCAACCGCATTTTCCACCATAGACAAACGACTGGTGGTGGGCTTATCGTTGTCAATTCGTGTAGCTCCAAGATGCTTTGTCTTTTTTTCTTCTCCTTCTGCCAGGAGTGTATTTATAGTCCTGGCTCTTGCTGTCTGGTTTTTACTCCTCCAAAAAAGCTAAAATAGGGGTTGAATGCGAAATATTTTGGGTGTGAGCGTGATTAAATGTTGATGATCCCAGATGGCTGTGTAAGTACAAAGTTGTGAGTTTGTGAATACCACACACGCCTCTGTTTTCCCCTTGTTTGATGTCGCCCATACATCAGTATTTATAGCAGATGAGTGTCTGACTTTCTGTTTTGAAATGAGGAGCTGAGGTGGATGATGCAGAGAGGTGACGTATCGCTTTATCTTGACAAGTTCACACTTCTTTGTTCTCATCTGATGTTAGGACATGAATGAATGTGCCAACTGAAGGGCAGAGAGGGCAGGAGTCTCTTTGGTGTCCTGTCAGTTACACTCTGCCGACTTATGGGCTTATATGATATTTTTATACTTGCCTCTGTGTTTTAGTATCTGCAAGGCTTGTCAACAGTGTGCAGCTCGTGCGTTGACGTAGGTACATTGTGAACTACCCCTGGGGGCTGCTATCCGCTCTGCCACTTGAGCTTTCCTCATTGTCGACTCAGCATGTCCGACAAGCTCCCTGGGTTGCTACCCTGCCATGGCTGACACAGGGTGGTTAGTATGTATGAGCGTCTGTGTGTATGAGTCTGTGTGATGAGGTCAGCAATTGCCAGAGGCCGGTCACTGGAGAGAAAGCGAGGTTCCCAGCGGACACCTGCTGCATGGCCTTTTGCGCCATGTATTGTCAGACATTATAACTACTAAGTGAGGGTTACATGGGAAAATAAACCTTTTGCCTAAGAGAAAAGGTAAGAACTGACCTGTGCAGAGGTTATTGTGTTTGCTAAGTTAATGAAACAGAAATAATTGATGTTTACAAGGTATTATTAGGGATAATATCAGCAAAAAGCAAAATATGCATTGGTTCCAGTTGCTGTAGTATGCTGCGGCCAAAATGGTGCAAACCCTTTCCACTGTATATACCATACATCTGAGCAGCCTTCAATCTGAAAAGCACTACTCATACAGTACATAATGAACTACAGTAATGAACTGTGCTAAATTATACTCACGATTATAGTTTTGTTGAACAAGCCGTTAGAGTATGAGACATAATAGCCCCCAATTTCATGGATAGATTTACAGGCAGTAATCATCTCAGAGTCCCCGCACCAAATCTCATTCTGTGTGACTGGTGTTCAAGAGTGATTATTTTTTGTTAATACTCCTGTAATTAAATGCATGTGTAGACTGTGAGTGATTACACTTCCTGACGGGTAATTGCTCTGCGGCTCAGATCATTGTGAGAATGATAATCAAATCTGTGGAGTTTTGAGCATGTGTCCGCTGAGCGCAACTGAACAGCAGTGAGTCACCGGTGGTGACGAAAGGATCAGTCAGAGACATTGTTCTTCTTAACAACCTTAACTAATAAAGTTCCACAGGTACAGGAAACAAAACGGAAACATTCACAAAACAGTTGCTTCAAGATAGTAGTTCTCACCCTAAAAATCCAAATGTGACATGTTTTTGTAGTATGAAAATGATCATTGCTGAGGGTTTAACTGTGTCACAACGTTGACACAAGCAAATTCTGCAGAGAGCTCTAGGTTTAACAGTAACAGATCTGCAAGCACGTAGATGGACATTATTTAGGAGGTCAAAGGGCATCATGTACTTATTGGAAAAGAAAAAAAGCGCTTAGTAGCAGTGTCAGTTACAGAATTCAATGTGTGATTAGTGTGTTTATTATCCTCATAAGTTGCACTTAAACACAGAGCAAACGAAAATAAAATACAATCACTATGTTGTCGTGATCAATTTAAACATTTAAAGAAGTCCCTGTAATTCATAGCAAAATTTGAGGTAGACCTAATCCCTTGAATCTAAAAATATTAATGCTTAAAAGTAACTTACTGGGGGTATACTGGGACTGTAACAGGAATTAAGGAAACTAAATAAAAAGTATTATTCCACTCTTGGTGTGAAAACGTTGCAAAAACTATTGCCACTACTTCTACAGATATTACTACTGCTTAAAGTAGTAGTACTATAAATACTAGTAGTATTATAAATGCTAGTACTGTCCCACACAAAAGTTAGATTGCAGAAGTAAATAACTCACATCACAAACTCTATTTCGTAGTGGCTATCTACAGTCTACAAAAATTAAAAATTAATTTCAGGGCTGGATTTTTCAGTGCTGCCTTTACTATCCTAGGAAAAATCAGATTGGAGATTTGTGGTTGCAGTTCTCTAATTGACAGGGTCACATTAGTGCAGGCTTTCATGATTACTGTTCATGATTACTGCTAACAGTATCGGATAGAGCTCCAGAGCAAATGTAGACGAGGGAATGGAATACTAAGCTAGGCCAGATGTCTGGCAGCAAGCAGTAGTGCAAGAAAGCCCAGGACGACTTTAAAAATATTGTGTATTAATCTTCTGAAGTGAGTTTTTTTTTTTCTGGTGGACTTAATTTGCTCAACACTTGTGTAGTTGCACTGATATCCAAACTGGGCACTCATCCACTCTAATATAATTTATGTTTCAGACCCCTGATTAAAAACTGGAGTAGATCCATCCAACACTATGAGGAGACACAACAGCCTCTGGTAAGAACATCATCATCACACTGTTAGTCTGTAGAAAAGGATAGAGGTTCTGCTGAAAAATCTGCAAATCTCATCTCTCATTGTGAGGACAGTAGTATATCCTGATTCTAAAACTAAAATTTAAAGACACTGAGGACTCATAAAATCCCCTTACATTGTCAAAATCTCCTCACACTTGCATTTGCAAAAAATTATTATCACAGTCTGACGAAAAATCTCACAGAAACACACACAGCCGACCCTTATATGCTTATGACCTACTTTCCCGGAATTGTTGTTAGAACATTTCCAGTAATGGAGGACAGGGCTTGGCGCATCTTAGGTTCATTTTTGGCAGCTCATTTGGATCCTCCTGACCTTGTCCTCTTCACTTTGGATAAACTTTGAAGCCTATGTCCAAACAACTTTTATTCATTCATTCAGTTCATTTAGACAAGCAACGTTCCTTAACCTGGAAACTAGGATATCTTATTTCAGGGCAAATGTAAATGTAAATTTTGCCAGATAAGGGAAATACCATATGAAATTACACATATAAAACACAAATAGTTATCTGAGCAGAAGACTTTAACAGATGTGAGGTTTGACTATGCAAAATTATGTTTGGCTATCTCTTTGACCATATGTGATGACGTCCAACTTATCTGCTTTATATAAACACTTAAACATGTGAAGGCTGCTGTGTGTAATCAGTCGGATTAAATGGATATGTCTATAAATTTGTATAAGAGAGTGAGACAAACAAGCTGGGAAAAGGGGGGTTGGGAAATCACTGTACTGAACATTGAGTAACAACTAAAGGAACTTCACTCATTGGATATGCTAAAAAAAAAAAAAGAATGACTTAATGGATCCCAGTCAAAGTTAATACTGAGACCAAAGGTCACACAAATAAATCAATGCATGAGGGACAGTGATGGCTCGGTGGTTAACGTAGTTAAGTAGAATGTAGACTTGGGTCTGTAAGCGTGCCACTGAGGTAACTAGAGCTGCGACCGGCCCCCTTTGGTGATGGTCACGTTTGATTGTATGCAGTGGTGTGCTGTGTCAAAATGACAGGTAGTTCACTCACTTACATACATTTTTTCTGTATAAATATTAAAGGCTACAGTGGGTCAAAAGTTGTCAGTCATTTGGAAGTTTTTTGTTGGTGTGTACCAAAGGAATTTACTTACTCACCCCATTAGAATAAATCCAAAATTGAAAGGACAGTGTATTTTTGTGAATTCTGTAATACTCAAGTGCCACTGTTGAGGTTAAGGGATTATTCTGTATTTTGCTCATATGGTTAGTAGTTTAGGCTAAATATTACACTTTGACCTCCAATTTTACCACTTTATATTTTCTCTGGATAACTGTGAGGTCTTCAAAGACCTATCTTTAGTGAATAGGGCCTGTGTTCTCTCCCAACTCCAGGCATCCCCAGGGTCCAAGTCCCTATCTTTTTGACCTGTTTCTCTCTCTTTATATATATTTTTCCATCAAGGTTCACTCAGCTGTATCTTTCTTATTTCAGCCTGCAAACCCTCTGGGATGCTCTCGTTCCCATTGCATAGCCTGCCTTTGATTTTGTTGATACCTCACCTGCACAGAAAATTCCATAACCATACATTACCTGCAAAATGTATGAGAATACTAAGCTGTTGTTAAAAAGAGCCACAAAGCATAACTAAAAATAATGTTCACATTAATTATGAGTGCAGTGTTATATTTTGATAAATTGCTCAGCTGTTTCTAGAGAAACTTGTGTACATTTTTTATATTAAAATCTAAATATCCCAATATTACATAATCTTACATCTTTGGAGCCCTAAACAACTTTTAATAACGTTAGAAAATCTTCAAAAGACTCACTTAAGTCAGTTCAGCCATGAAACGACCACAGATGAGCTCTCCATGTCTTAAACTCTCACAGCTTTAAAAAATAGAAAGTGTTACAGAACTTCACGTATTGGAATGTCTGAGGTGTGAGCAGCATTAGCAGTGCATCATGATGAAATGCTTGTGTGCGTAGGAATGAATGATCTTTGCATTTGTCACCAGTACAGAGCTTAGCGTCCATCAGTGCTTCCGGCGAGGTGCGTCTGCCACTGAGTGGGAACAGAACGGGCCAGATTGTGTAGGGAGGGAGGCCCTGGCACATGCCCAGGTGCATCTGAAGCCTCCTCTGATCCTCCAATGTGCTGTTGAGCTGCTCAATCCCTCCGACACCTGCCAAACACCTGCTTAGCTTGATTGTCAGAACGAAAGCTCGGCTATCGGCGAGGGTTGTCGGAATGGTGCGGAGCTCTGCTTTCATCAGCAAGCGTGGTATTGGACAGGTGAGATTGCAAACTGATGTGGGTCGAGAAGATAGCCGCTTTGTCTGTGTGATGGTTGAGTAGAAAGACCTGGTTTGACAAATGCAGTGTCGCAGCCACATGTAGATGTTTGTGCTTTACTGCTGATATTCACTATGTTTGCCACCTGACCATTGAAGTAGATTTATATTACAAACCCCTTACTTGAATTCCTAACTGCGTGTTGTCTATAAAGTGAAAAACACTGTGTAATAAAGTCCTGCATTGGCATGGATTAAATATTCACATGACTACTATCTCTGGTAATTAATTTAGCTCTGCATATATGGGGTGTGGGTCATCATCAAAGCGAGGCATAGTCAACACTGAATGAGCTGAGTGTAATTGGGAGAATAAAGAATTCATTTGACTAATGAGAGGCTGTTATGGGAAGCATTCCTTAGATGGAGACCTTAGGCCTTTTTTATCCTCGCTCCTCCCACTAATAGCAGAAGATGAGTGTGGCTCAGCTTTATGACTTTCTGATTGAAGCCATTTTTTAGATGGCAATTGTAATTTGTGTTTGGTGGGGCTCATAGGTATTTTGCCAGACAGAGGATGACATATGAAGGACTAATTCAGTCTGTATGTCAGGCCTGTTGGTAGGTCTTTAAGTGACAGGAGTCAAGTGACAGCCACAATCTGACATTGTTGAGGCTTTAGACAGCTTTAACAGTGCCAAATCACAGCATTTGGCAGGAATGTAATTGAGTCAATGAGAGCAAAAGTGAAGGGACATGTTTCGGCTCAACTGCACTGGTGAGGGCATCCTGAACAAAGATGTCGAGAGTAAAATGGTCTTGGCGAGTAGGAGGTGGTGGTGACAGATAAATGAGGCCATTGCTGGCGGAGGGAGGAGGAGAGAGTTGCTTGCAAGCTCCCCTGCGATCTGTACCTGCCAAGTCCCTACCCTGAGCAGCTGCTCGCAACTCTGAGAATGTGTAGCTGCCCACTCCCACACCACATCCATCTTCTACGGATTCCAATGTGACTCTTCTGAAGTGTTTTAGGCCTGGATGCTACTGGATATGTATTTTTACTAGGGCTGTCAAAGTCAACCTGTCGATTCCACGGTCCATCCAATTAATGTTGCTTTACACACATTTCATGCACTTTTGGGGGGTTCAACTTTAGGTCGGTTGCCTGGCTTGCTTTTACCCAGCCCACTGAGCGGGTGAGCAAGTAAGTCAACTGCTAAGTCAAATGCCAAATGGGTTCCAAAATACTGTAGAAAATCAACGAACTCTGGGTGCATTCTACAGGCACCTGTCAAGTGACTAAAATCCAAAAGAGTTTTACTTTCATATATTTTTCTTGCAATTTTTCCATACATTTGGAAAAGCCCACAAACAAAAAAAGGGTTGGGACACTTTTTCAGCTGTTTTGTCATATTTAAGAATTTATCTTGATTATTTCTGCTCAGTTGTTGTAACAATTAATCATGATTTATAGGGAGTTATCCACGGCTAGCCATTTGACAACCCTGATTTCATACATTCACATCATCAGCTGCATTAGCTTTATCCTGTGGTGTTAATACAGACTTCAGGTGTAATACACAAAACATTCAATGCTAGAACTCCTCACAATTTGCTCTCATTGCATTGATAAATTATCTTGTTTCTCACGTTTCATTTCCTGATACTGCACCGCACTGATATCCGTTTGAAGGCTTTGATGCAAAATTATACTTTCACAGCACTGCATTATTTTTGGCAACATGGCTTTAATACAGTGTTCATAGATCAAGCCCACTTTTTGACACTTTAAATTCAGCACTAACAGCTCTGTGAGCTGTTTTCTCAAATTTCATTTCCTGGCTTGGTGGTATTTTCACAAACTGCTGCCTTTGGCAGAAATAACCTAAGACTGATATAAATATGCCACATTTCATCCTCACCGTATATGAAAATGTGCCCCGCTCTTCGTACTTTTCAAAGAACCCCAAACCCGACGTTCCCCTCCACTCACAAGCTGCCACCTGCCATTCATGAGCCACAGTGTATAAGTTGCACCTGCAGTGGTGAGTTATGTAACAGGCCACTTTGAGATCCGTTCATTCAACATGCCCTGCATCTGCAATGATTTCCCTCCATTAAAAATCGGGGCACATGGCTTCTCTTATTCATAAACTGAAAAGGGTTTCAATTAGGCCTTTGTGGCTATCCTCCCAGTGGTTTGCGTATTTAAATGAGACAATTCTCTTGGGGAGACAATAGCGGAGGTCTTTTAAATCGTAGCTTGAGAAACTGCAATTCACGGATGATGAAAAATTTCTTCATAATTACAGCAAACTTGCACATGTGACTGCCACATTTTCTCTAGCAGTGCTTTTGTTGGAAATTTAAAGGCTACTTGTCGCGAAAAAGAGTGCTCCATTATTTTTATAGTGGCAATCTATAAATGTCCTAAATATTTTTGGTGAGTTTACCTCCTTCGTCACGTGCAGCTCTTGATGTGATGTTTTCAAGCTCAGGCCTCCCTCTGGGTGAACCCGACTTTATATTAGGTGATAATGAAAAGTCCTCGTCAAGATGCAACACTAGCCAATTAAACTGACTACAAAGGAAGCAGAAAGCTGCAGAGACTGCTACCCCAGATGCAAGGGCAAATAAATAGCACGAGAGGATGAAAAAAAGAGTAAAAAAAAAAAAAGGCAAC